CAACCGGAAACACAGTGAAGATTTCCTCGTGTCCTAATTGTCGAAAACCGTTGCCAAGATGCGCGATTTGTCTGATGTACATGGGAACCACAACCGGGGAAATTGAAAAATCCAAAATGGTTGATTTTGACAGCTGGTTCACTTGGTGCCAAACCTGCAGGCATGGCGGACATGCCGAGCACATGCTGCAGTGGTTTAAGTAATTAAATTTATAATAGAATTTTATAGTTTGTTTTTTTGGTTGAAATTGGGTTCAATAATACCAAAAAACAGCCCAGTGCATTTCAATATATATTTTACATTATTTTTTATTCCAGGGAACACCAAGATTGTCCAGTGACTGGTTGTAGTTGTAGATGTTATGCTATTGATGCTGGAAACACGTAATGTTTTGTAAATATGTAGGTATATTTTTATTTTAATAAAAACATCGCTTTTAAATATATTTTTTATTATTTATTCGCCTGCGCCAACTAAATAAAATGAAATTTGATGGTAAAATCTGGATGAGTATATGGGTGGTTTTCAGTAACTTTGAAGATACCATGACCCTGGAGTATTAAAACTAAAACCTTTATATTAGCCATATTTTTTGTTACTTTTTACTATATAGGATAAAAAATATGTTATCGATTTATAATAGCAAAATTTATTTTTTAATTTTGGTTTTAAAACTCCTGTTTCACATGACCGTCGTATGTCCCTCGAGCAAAATCCAATATTTGCGATCTTCTAAAAATTCATTTTAAATTGGACGCCTTTCTGCAGAAAGGAACCAACCCACAAAACCAAAAAAATCGAGATATTTAGCCTATGAACTAATTAAGTATGTATAATTTATCTGCAAAATAGGTCATAGCCAAAATGCAAGTGTAGTGAAATCTATTAATCATTGAACCAACCAACATTCAATAATAGTGTGGATTACTAATCCAGAATTAGAATCTGTAGAATATCTGCAAGTGGGTTGGATCTTTTTTGAAAAAAAGCAGGCTGGTAGACCCACTACCAAAGTCTTTAAAGATTTCCTGCTTCTGCAAAATATAAAGTCTAGATGCATTTTTTTGGTAACTTACAAGATGAGGTGGGGTTGGAAGATGATGTGGACGAATTTCAAATAGAATCAAAATTAATTCATTTTACCATTATAATAGTAATATCAGTTGTATTTTGTTTGGAAATAAATAATTGTCGCTTTTCTTTAAATACATACATACATCAGATAGTAGTTTTCATAAATTGCAGAAAGGAACCAACCAACAAAAGCCCATTTTTTTCGTCACCCTTACACATAACATCACAAAATCCACCTAATGAAATTATTAAATTATATCCCTTAAACCTCCGTAAGTCCAAAATCGGCATAAAATTAACAGGTAATTTTAAAATTATTAAAATCTTTGATAGCTTTTTTCTCAGTTTCATCATGGTGTGGGTTGGTTCCATTCTGCAGAAAGCCGTCCAATTTTAAGTAGCCAAAGAAAATGATATTGAACAAATGTTGGGCTTTTTGTGGTATAAAATTGTCTTAAATAGCCATTATTGTTAATGTTGTTTAATTTTGAGCAAATAAAAATGTGTGAAATCACATGAAAAAAAGTATGCGACGGTCATGTTAAAAATTTGTATATTTTTTATTTAAAACTCTTTTAAGTTTTATTTTTATACACTTAAAGCACTTTATTTATCATTCTGGCATATTTGACCAAGTTACCTAAAAGAAATAAGTCAGTTGAACAATTTTATTAAAAAAATGGCACTAATTTAAAAATAATAGAGGAAAAACTTAAAGGATGACACCCTGTAAATATTTCGTTTTTCATAATAAATAAAATGCAAATAATTTTTAGATAATTTAATTTACATAAGATGTTATTACAATACATTTATTTAATATAGGCTATATTTGGCATTTTATTCTCAACGTAATGAATTTACGTTTGAGAATTTATGTTACACATACGCAATTTCAACAACATTCATCAAAAATACAGATGAACACTATTCTACCTGTTAAAATAATTTATACAACTCTCAAAAAATAAAACATTTTATACAAAAATTAGTAAATAATTTTCAAATTTTAACTACCTATATGTATATCTGAGAAATATGGTGCAACAAAAGTTTATAAAGTGTTATGTACATAATTATTTTAAGTTAATATCACAGACTTAACGTAAATAGAACCTATAGGTACACATGCAGTTGTTTTATACAGGGTGTCTATTTAAGGACGAGCAATGCTATATAAGTTTGGACCTAAAAAATATATCAAAAATGTCTCAAAACAGTTTTGAGAAATTTCTGATATCTTTTTTAGGTCCACACGTATAGAGCATTGCTGGTTTTTACATAAATACTCTGTATATATGAAAGCTGTCTTATATAAAAGTTTACAAAAAGATTACATTGATATGCTTACACAATATTAAATTTACATAAAACAGCGTTCGCTTTGGTCAGTAAATTAAAAGGTACCTAATACACGATTTCAAAAGATTTTATGGGCTCAAAGAATGAAATCTTTTGAGAAACATTGTATACGACAACCAAATATAATTTATTTACACTGGGAAGTGAAGAGTCATCAACGATACAAGCTTACCTATATATTACACAGTACAACACGATTTCCCTCCCATGAAAAATTTTAGCAGATTTTGAAAATAGAGGTAAAAAAAACGTACCCGTGTCTCACAGTTTCACGAGATCACGTCATAAAAAAATTTTAAGCCGTCATTCCTATTATTTATGCTTATACAGTTTGTACATTTTTTACTCGGTTAAAAATATATTTTTTTGTAAATATTGTATGTTTTTACACAATACAAAAAACAAATATAAAAAAAGTTTATATTTTGATTTTTTTTAAATAATTTTTTTTTATTTTTTTTAATGAAACACATTTTTGTATTTATCTTATATTCAATACATGTTGGAATAAAATCTTGGTCGTTTAGTTTGACGATTATACAGCTCGTTCAGACTAAAACCGAATATATCTATATATATATATATGGGGCGTGGCCTCGCCTCCCTCCAACGCGCGACACAGTAGCTAAGCAAATAGACTGCATCGCTAATGAGATTTTTTGCATTATTATCTTTTAATTTTTTAAGTCCTTACCTGCTCGACCTTTCGTCATGTCGTTTATCACACCAGCAACTGTGACGCGCCTTGGAGGGAGGCGAGGCCACGCCCCATATATATATATATATATAGATATATTCGGTTTTATTCTGAACAGGCTGTATATTGCTTCAGAATCTCGAACAATTGACCAGCAATATTCACCCAGCAAATGCCTGACGTCTTTTCCCTTGAAGCGTTTTTCAATTGTTAAAATGTCTTGGTGAAAACGTTCGCCATGTTCGTCACTAAAATCGCCCAAATTTGGTGGAAAATAGTCCAAATGAGCATGGAGAAAATGTATTTTCAGTGACATATGTACTTTCATGTCCTGTGTTATAAAATGTACTTTATAACCCGAACTACAGGAAATAAATTCAGATTCCATCTCGGAAAAAATGGTTGTACTGGGTGTTAAAGGTCTTTTACTTTTATCCTCACATATGTTTTCTGAAGGAGCAGTTGGATAATCTTCAGATCGCACTCTTGCGAGAATGACGGATTCTACATCGGCGTAATCAATTTTCTCTCTAGAATTGTACCGAAATCCAAAACTTTTTAATTTTGACATGCAGAAATAACACTGGTCAGATGCCTGTTCGGTACGTCGCGACGGGTCGAAGCCAAATTGTTGGTGCAACATATTTCATACTGTGTGTTTTATCTTGCAATCCATGCAAACAACGGTAACAATAATCGCATAAAACCTCTGGTACATACCATAAGTTTGGTATATACGTCACCAAAAAATAGTCTTCAAAAGCTGTTACTACACTTTTTGTAATATTTCGCATATGGCTTGGAGGTGCAAATAAACCACATACATAACAAAAATTATTTCGATTCGGACACTGCATTTTTACTTTGATTTCAAATGGATGGTTAACTCAACAATCAAAATTAATATGAAAAATTTATCGATTTATCGCTGCAATAATGTTTTTATTTAACATTTAAAAAAAAAGTATTACCCTCGTATAAAGATTGTTTTGAAAACAATGCTTTTTATGTATAAATGCCGCAGATGTGTAAATTTTTTGTTTTTTTGCTGTTTCAATTGACTTCGTATACTTAAATACTTTTTTTTACTTAAATTAAATATGTTTTCTTACTACCTCGACTCAAAATACGTTGTTTCGTCCCCGATTTCACGGCAGAAAGTTTACGTTTCTTGCATTGGTCAAGCTATACGCGCACACTTCAATAGCGGGAGTAAAAATTTTTTAGTCGTGTGCTTAACATTCAAATTTCGTACTGCCAACATGAGAAACACAAAAATATGACAGTTTTAAACCATAATTTTGCAATTATAACAACAAATAAACAATTTTTGTTTTTACTTTTTTACTTTTTATGTTGTTTTAAGTGTTTAATGGTACTTTTATTTGTTAAAAAGTAGTAATTTGTTAATTAAAATACAACGTTTTATTTTTACTGTATTGGCACCGCTGAATTCACGGCCTACTGTTATTTATTTATCAAGCTCTTCAAATGGAGATAGGTACATAAATACACATTTAATTTTTTCCCGTATTTTCGGCCGGGTTGTATTTTCGGCCGAGGTAGTAAGAAAAATAGTATACACTACACGGGCAGAAAGTGTGAGAGTCCTGAACTGCGCGCCATGATGCCCTCGGCTTCGCCTCGGGCATCATGGCGCGCAGTGCAGGAATCTCACACTTTCTGCCCTTGTAGTGTAATATACTATTTAGTTACACTTGCTTTAAGACTTAAATCAATTCATTTAAATATCTTTTAATTTTTTTTAAAAATGTTAATTCAACAAAGCTCAATTTTTACAAAAAATTGAATAAATAAAAATTGTAATCACCCGACTTTAAAGCATTTTGATTGGCTTAAAATTGAAATATTTTGTTACTTGGTTTAAAAATAAACCGTTTGATATATATATATAAAAATGTGCAAAACTCTGTATAAGATTAAAATAATTTTAAAATGCATCTATAATGGTTGCCTATCCATTTAGTAAATATATATATTTTTAACTATGCAGTCCAGCTGTTATCGAGTCTATTAAATTATGTCGCGAATAGTGTGAATAACATTTTATTGGATAGCCCTTAAAAAAAAATTATGACGTGATGTGCAAAAACGCCGAGACACGGGTATCATTTTTTTAACTCTATTTTTAGAATCTGTAGAAATTTTTCATGGGAGGGACCAAAAATCAAATTTTGTCGTACTGTGTTATAATACTAGCACATGTAAACGTATACTATACATTTTAATATTGACAAAACTATTCTAAAAATGTACCCTGCATATTTGCTATGCTTTATTTTTTTATAAATAATACAACTTTTGATTGCATAAACATTTAGGTAACATAACATTCCCGAATCGCTATTTTAAATTTTACAAACAATTTTGGTTTTATTATTTGATTAAATTTGTTTCGTTGCTATTATGATTTTTAATATCCAGGCATATATCTATCATATCGAAAATTTTGGTTTTATAATTTTTCCATTGTATTAATTTTAAATATATTGTATAAATGGTCCACACATTCTGTTTTTTTTTGTTCCAATATTGTAACATTTAACCATAAAACCAAAATTAATTTTTTATATAAATAACTACCTAAAACGAAATTATAGACTGGTTGGTTGGGAAATGACCACCCCATTTTTATTGGTATACCTTTGCAATCGTTCCCTGCTATCCCCTAAACAAGTGGCATTGTTTGTTCTACTGGTCATGGTAATGGAAGTGGAAGCGTCTCCTTTATTCATCAATGGCCCAACGTCGCACTCTTCATCATTATTGGGACAAAGAGAGGTGGCCCTGGTCGGTCTAAACCTTAAAAAAGAATTACTTAATTATCCAATTAATGGTACCATAGAATAAAGGGATGAGAAAATATACAACAAGTCTGTCATCTATCTAACATTTAAATACACTCGGTTTCAAGTCTTGCACCACTTTGTAATTCCTTCTATAAGTTAGCGCATTTAATAGTAACAAACTATCCTCTTTTTATTAGGATATTGACTGTTTTTATATCATAAAAAAGTTTGTTGATACTTACCCAATTAGAAGATAGGGGGCAAAAAGAAACAATGCGAATTTTTTTTAACACTTTATTTTTTTAGTACCTTATATTTCAACTCCTGCACTGTAACAATGCATGAACTCGTCTGGGCATGCCTATAAGGTTAGGGGACATCCATTAAATACGTGAGGCATTGTTCTGATAATTTGGACCCCTCCCACCCCCTTGGTGAGTCTCACCAAGTGAGATGTGGTAGACCACCTCCTATCCCTCACGTGAGATTCTAGCCATTAACTTTCATTGCGGACAACATGATAAACCCAAAAAAAAATTGATTACTTTTTTTTGACAAATTTGAATCATAATACTTCTATTCTTTGAACCCAAAAGCTGACGTGAGATTTTAAAAGACCCCCTCCATTAACATGAGATTTGGTGAGATTTTGATAAGAATAAGAATAAGTTTATTTACCTTCAAGGTTTACAAAGCACGTCATACAAAATACAATTTAATAAATTGTACCAAGCAGCATTTTTGGTTCCAAAAACCATTACTAAACAGCAACTTTAATTTCTTGGGGGCAACCAAGTTTTACTTAAATGTTTATTACTCTATAGTAACCATTTAAGGAAAGAATTAAATTTCTGTTACAAATATTGCTATTTAAAAGTTAGAATTACTTTTAAGTAAAAATTAAAGTAGCTGTTTAGTATACTTAACTAATTTAAAGTTATCACCACTTTGGTAATGGTTTTTGGAACCAAGAATGCTGCTTGGGTTGTTTTGTGACCAGTGTTGGTGTGATCCTATAAGATTTTTAAATTTTTGTAGACATAAATTTATGTTAACAAGACAGGTAAGTATAAAACAGCAGATATGGTGAGTATTTTAAACTTTTTAATGAGTAGGAAACAAGATGTTTGGCGACTTCCTTTGGCGATTGCTCTTATTGCCCTTTTTTGCAGGAATATTTTGATTGCTTCTGAAGATCCACCCAATTTTAAAATCCCATAGGAAGCCTTGCTATGAAAGTGGGCGTAATAAGTAGTTACTGCCGCGTCTTCATTAACAATACTTTGTATTCTTCTTACACAATAGATAGCCGATTACAGTTTTTTCGATAGTTCTTCAATATGTACAGACCATGGTCTGTATTACCTGCAGGTAAATATATTGTCCATGATTATGCCTAGAATTTTAACGTTTTGTTTTTCAATGAATCTAGTGGTACCTACAGGTGAGTTTTTGAGTTTTTTGTATATTAAGTTGCAATCCATTTCATTTGAACCAGATGTCCCCCTTATTTAGGCATTCTTAAGAAATGTCAATATTTATACTACTGGTATTCAATTTTTATATTATACTTGGTGGTGCAAGACTTTTGAAACTGACTGTATAATGTACAGTGTACATACATGTAGATACTGGTTTGAACTTGTAAACAAATTTACTGGACCGACTCTCTCTTTCTACTTTAAAATCTACGTAATAAAGTTACTGATATTACCTTTCCGAGTTGTGCTTAGTTTTACGCGGGAAAACGCTGTTTTCTAAATGAAGCTGCGCATTGACATCCTTCGCTGCGCAGGTGCATGCTTTAAGAAAGCTTTTCTTGAAGTTATCGCTCAGAAAAGCATACAGGATTGGGTTCACAGCCGAGTTTGAATAACTCAGGCATGACGCTAGTAGATGAAGAGTTATTGCAAATCTGAAGAAGAAAAAAATATGAATTGGATAAGTTTGTATTGCAAAAAAAAACTTACGTAGATACATCTTCACCCTTGCTGGCCAACTGCATAATCCAATACGGAAGCCAAAAAATGACGTAGACTGTGACAACGGTCAAAACCAAATTGGTGACTTTCCTGTGCGATCTCTTCTTCTCCTTGGACTTGTTCTTCGGTCCGACGTGCTTCAGTTTCTTGACGACTTCGAAGTAAAAAACGAGTATCAAACTCAGCGGCACCGCGAAGCTGCATATGAAGGTGTACATGCTGTAGATGGTTTCTTGCGGTATACCGTCGGCTTCCGAGCTATTGAAGTAGGAGTAATTTTGGGGGTTGCCCCAGCTGATCACGCAGGATTTGTGGCCGCCTTGGTCCAGCTCTTTGGCGTGCTGTATGATCGGTATGATCAGCAGTATGCTCGTTGTCCACGCCAAGAGCGACACAATTTTCGAGATGAAAGGAGTCCGCCATCTTGGCGAAGAAATCGGGTGACACACGGCGATGTATCGGTCCGCAGACATGATGCAAAGGAAGATGCTGCTGGTGAATTGGTTGATGCTCGTGCTGATCATGTAGGCCTTGCAGGCCATGTGCCCGAATATCCAGTGCTCCTTGATCATGGTGACGATTAAAAACGGCAGACCAATCAGGAAGCATTCGTCGGCGATTGCTAGATTCACTATGTACATGTTCGTCACTGTCTGCATTTTGGAGAATCTGATTACCACGTAGATTACCAGAGTGTTGCCCACCAGCCCAACTAGGCATACTATGGAGAATAAAACTATTTGGATGACTAGAACGTAGATTCCGAAGGAGTGGAATCCCTCCTCGCTTGTAGTTTCATTCATTTTGAAGAGCTTTGTGGTGATTAAGTTTCAGGCATAGCCACCCATTGAAGAATTCTGCATCTAAAACAAGTTATATTATTTTTTTACTTGTTAGATAGCAAACATAATATATTAAAAGATGTGAAAGGTAACATGTGGTGTTTTTATTTGTAAATGCATTTACATATTTAAAACAAAGAATGTGACATAAGAAATGGGAGACATAAATGGAACTACACTTACAGTACATTATTTAAGTAGTTTACGACGATATTTCTTTTGTCCTGGCCAGCCGAAAAAGTAATAAAAGCTTGTGGCTTCGAGTTTTAAAATTCAGAAAAATAAACCAATGATAAATGCGATACACCCAGCTGCATTTATTTAAATATTTATTAAAATTGTTCGCCAACTTCTTACTAATAAAGTGTAAAGTAGGTTAAAATAAACTTAAATTTATATTATGCCTGGTTAATTAATTTAATTAATATTGTACTACAACGTTAAATTAACGTTATTTTGTAATAACGTTATGTTGGTTAAATTAAAATTCTTGGTTAATGTACCTTTTGATTAAAAAGAAGGTAATATTTGGTACTTTTGAGTTTCTTTTACCCTTTTTTAACTAATTTTTAATTTAAACTATAATTATTTTAACTCTACATAATTACAATTTACCAAATATTGTTATGTAGGTTTAGATATGACCCTGAATATTAATACTTATATAATAATAACGTGAACTTGACACGAAAAAAACCCTTGCTATTTCGAAATTCCTCGGCAATTTTTTCTTGGGTTCCCTGACTCAAAATAAATATTCAATTTTAGTTTTAGAACTGTTTATCAAATATATATATCATCGATCATAACTTTGGTTCCAATTGGGCGATTCCGACGAATTTTTTTAAAGTTCTATAGTTTTATAGTTCTATTAGATCGTGGCTATCAAAAAATTAATAATTTTTCGGAACTTAAAATTTTAATAATTTTGATTTTTTCCATTTTCGGACATTTTGTAATATCAAAAATGATTTTTATATTCAATCTTTTTATATTTAGCCCTTTTAACTACACTCACAGGCAAAATAATCGATCCACACAAATTTTCGATTAATTTCAATCGCAAATAAATTGTTTATTTGATGTCGGATTTAAACGAATATTAAAGAATATTGTAGATAAATTAATGGAAAATCGCAAATATTTTAAAAAATTACTAAAAATAGACGTACGTTTATAATATACAGTAAGGGTGATTCAAAAAAAGCCTTTTTTTAAAAATGAACCCGCACTGGCCTAAATTATAAAGATTACATTAAAACGAAAAGATTAATACCAAAAAATCCAAATTCGATGAATATTTAGAGGTCGCTCAAATCGATTTTCGTATTTTTGCACATTCGAGCCGCAAAATTATTACTGCGCAAAATAGTAAATAACTCCGTTAGTTTTTATTCGATATTATTAAAAATTTAAGGGTTACCTAGTGTTTTAATACCCTCTGAGATAGTGAATTGAACTTTACGAAAAAAAACATTTTTTTATGAAAAAAAAATAATTTGTTAATAAAAACGTATCATCTTATAAAATAAGCAACAATTGGAATCGCACTATGGTGGTACCGTAAAAAAACTAAAAAAATAACACTTAAATTATTTAGCATACATAAAACCTGCCGAAAGAAATATTTTATTTGATTTATATAAAACATAACCTAATAATAATTTAGTTATCCAAATTTTTCCCATTTTCATACGATTTTATAAATAATTTATATCCGTTTTATTAATTATAACGTATTTTTATAAAATTTCTTTATTTTTGATACCATATTTAATTAATTACACTAAGTAGTTATTAATTTATGTCCTTTTTATAATTAAAATAAAAAAAATCCACTGCTCTACATCTTTTTCTTTGCAATGATTGTTTCTAATGTTAATTTTTTCAAGCATTTTTTCTTTTGTTTGAGTAGGTACTCTTATCAAAAAATGACAAACAAATTAGCTCTTCTATTTGCAAATCTATATTTTTGTAAACATGAAGTTCATGAAGTGTTTTCAAATCATTTTTGGGTGCGCAAGTTGCATTTGGAGCTTGGAACCAGGCAAATATGTAAACGAAATAATAAAAATACAAATTCTACGCAATGACTTATTTTCATTGTTAGTGAGTTTAAATTGATCCCGAAATAACAAAATCTTTAGAAAGTATATAGCTTTGTTCATCCATCGGGCATGCTATCTATCTCCACCAAGGTATAAGATGTTTTTCTTTAATTTCTCAACAAATTAGTTTTGGTACTTAAACGCTTTTGAATAAAGTAAATAATATATAGGTATATATATATATATATATATATATATATTTATAAAATTTATCAACTACCTGGTAGTAGGTCCTACTATCAAAATTTAAGAATAATAATTATTATTGTGGTATGTCAATTTAGCAACATCTAGACAGAATCAAATAATTTTGGTATCAAAAATAAAGAAATATTATAAAAATACGTCATAATTAATAAAACGGATATAAATTATTTATAAAATCGTTTGAAAATGGGAAAAATCTAAATTACTTAATTATTTTTAGGTTATATTTTATATAAATCAAATAAAATATTTCTTTCGGCAGGTTTTTTGTATACTAAATAATTTAAGTGTTATTTTCTTAGTTTTTTTACGGTACCATCATGGTGCGATTCCAATTGTTGCTTATTTTATAAGATGATACGTTTTTATTAACAAACTATTTTTTTTTCATGAAAAAAAAAGTTTTTTCTGTAAAGTTCAATACACTGTCTCAGAGGGTATTAAAAAACTAGGTAACCCTTAAATTTTTAATAATATCGATTAAAAACTAACGGAGTTATTTACTATTTTGTGCAGTAATAATTTCGCGGCTCGAATGTGCAAAAATACGAAAATTGATTTGAGCGACCTCTAAATATTCATCGAATTTGGATTTTTTGGTATCAATATTTTAGTTTTAATGTAATCTTTATAATTTAGGCCAGTGCGGGTTCATTTTTTAAAAAAGGCTTTTTTTGAATCACCCTAATATACAGGTTTAAACAAAAATATGTTTTTTACCATAAGTATACTCTGTAGAGTGGCAAAACCGTTTATTGTTCTAAATTAAGTGTTATTTATCAAGTCACATCTATTCTTAATAATTTTGTTTTTGGTTCACCTCGGTATATTTATTTTTATGAAAAATATGGATTTTTTAAAAAAAACATTGCAATTTCCAATATTTTTCTGTATGAAGAACTAAGGTTGCTATGGTCCATCCATAGGCTATGGAGAATGACAGTGACAGTTTTGTTGAATCATCCCATACTTGGACATGTCATGCACGGCTTTCAAAAGCTATCAAATTGTTTTTTGCAAATTAATGTTTAAATTTTGAGGTGTCTTTTTACTTTAAAAAATGGATATGTCACCGACTGATGTTGTCAGAGCCATTAATTTAATCCAGGATGGACGGTCACAGTATTATAATACATATACGTGGCAAGTGTTTTAAACGTCACAAGAAGTTAAGTACAAAGGGCAACATCAGTCGAAGACATTTTTAAAAGTATGAAGACACCTTAAAATTAACACATTAATTTACAAAAAACAATTTGATAGCTTTTGAAAGATTTATATGACATGTCCAAGTATGGGATGATTCAACAAAACTGTCACTGTGATCCTTCATAGGCTATGGATGGACCATAGCAACCTTAGTTCTTCATACAGGAAAAATATTGGAAATTGCAATGTTTTTTAACAAAAATCCATATTTTTTACAAAAATAAATATATCAAGGTGAACCAAAAATACAACTTTTAAAAAAAGATGTGACTTGATAATTAAAACTTAATTTAGAACAATATACGGTTTTGCCAATCTACAGTGTTTTAAACTTATGGTAAAAAACATCTTTTTGTTTAAACCTGGGTATTATAAACGTATACGTGTATTTTTTAGTAATTTTTAAAATGTGAGCAATTCTCCATTAATGTATCTACAATATTCCTTAATATTTATTTAAATCCGAAATCAAATAAAAAAGTTATTTGCGATTGAAATTCATCGAAAATTTGTCTGGATCGACTATTTTGCCTGTGAGTGTATTAAAATTGTTAAAAAAAATTAAAGAGTATACTGCCAGTATTTTGAAGTTTTAAATGAATTAGTGACTCGACTTGAAAACACTTATCCTGTTCCCGCTACGCACAAAATCCACGTCATCATTCCTATAAGTGAACATGAAAATTTCATGATTAAATTGATGTCAAGCAATTCTCTAATTCTGAAAAGTATGATGCATTCAAAGTTGTTCGTTCAAGCAAGAGAAAGAATATAAATCTTTAGTACACAGAAAAAAATAATTACATATTATCAATGTATGCCAAACATTGACCAATATTTTATTAAATTAATGTAGTTATACATAAATAAAATGTATAAATACATTAATAGAATGTTTAAATTTTATAAGCTTATGACCACGTACATTGATATTATGTATAGCATACATTAATATAATGTACAATTTTACATAATATCAATGTATTAATACATTAAATTCATGTAAAAATACATTTAACTAAAGTATATATACATTAACTTTAGCCAAATCATTAAAAAAAAACGTACATTATATTAATGTATAAATACATTAACCAATTTTTCAGGTTTATTAATTGATGTTTTTAATACATTATATCAATGTATAAATTCATTAATCAAGGTAGATTGTTCATTATTCAATAAATTAATACATTGCATTGATGTGCAAAGTTATAAAACGCCTACAGAGTATTAATTATATAGCTTCCCGCTTTACTAGTCAACAGTGCAAGGACGTATTTGCTTCTGTTCCAGAGCCCACACCCTAAGAAAAAATTGAAATTATTATTCTTTTGTGTTTGTGAGTCGAATCAGGTGGTTATTGTGAAAGTAAAAAGCAGATAAATAGAAAAAAAAGGTAAGAATTATCACTTATTAATGTAAAAAAGTAATATAATATAGGAAAATAACACTTTACGTTAAATGAGTCGCCGATGAAGGTATTACAATTATTGT